GTACTTCTAGGACTTACAGTAACTGACAGTGTGAGGTAAACAATTCATAAATATTTGCTGAATAAGTAAAGAATAAATGAATTCTTCCTGACAGGAGAGGACACATACTACAAAGACATTATCAGATAGTGGTGGTCAGTCCCAATCTAACCTCTGTTAGTTAGAAATGAAACCATGACCTTTAGTAAGTGACTTGCTGAGATTTAGTAGCTTTAAAGTAAGTTTCAGTAAGGTGACTTTTTTTAAAAATTGAAGTACAGTCAATTACAATGTGTCGATCTCTGGTATAAAGAACAATGTCCCAGTCATGCATATACATATATTCGCTTTCATATTTTTTTCCATTAAAGGTTTCAGTCAGGTACCTTTGAACTTGAATTTCTAGTTCTTTTGGAATTTAAAATCCCTTTACCCACCTTTTGATTCTGAAATAGTTATAAACCAAAGACAATCTAAAATTTGATCTGATTGGGTTATTATATAAACCTACTAGTTGTTTCCAGGCTTGTATTTGAAATTGTAACAATCATATACATTATTAAGATTTGGAAAAGAGATTCCAGACCCCAATGATGCAATGTTGCTACTACCCTCATTAAAAAGAAAGAGTAAACTGAATAGATACTTGCTCTTTATTCTTATTTAGAAAATGTTCCCATCTCAATCTTTATTAAATAGAGATAGACATTAGCATTGTTAAGTTTTTAAGTTCTTTAGCCCTTCAAAAAAATGATTGTTATCCACAAAGTGATTATAAAGGAAATGTACCTCAACATAATAAAGGCCAATAAAGGACAAGCCCATAGCTAACATCATACATACTCAATGATGAAAAGCTGAAAGCTTTTCCTCTAAGATCAGAAACAAGACAAGATGCCCATGCTTGTCACTTTCATTCAACATAGTATCGAAAGTCCTAGCCAGAGCAATTAGGCAAGAAAAAGAAACACAGGCATCCAAACAGGAAAGGAAGAAGTAGAATTGTCACTCTTACCGATGACGTGAAACTATATATAGAAAACTCTAAAGACTCCACCAAGAAACTACTGGAACTAATAAATGAATTCTGTAAAGTTGCAGAATACAAAATTAATACACGGAAATCTACTGCATTTCTATACACTAACAACAAACAATCAAAAAGAAAAATTAAGAAAATAATTCCATTTATAATTTCAAAAAAAAGAATAAAACACCTAAGAAAAAATTTAACCAAGGAGGTAAGATCTGTATACTGGAAACTATAAGACACTGATGAAAGAAATTGAAGAACACCCCAAAAAAATGGAAAGATACTCTGTCTTCATGGATAGGAAGAATATTGTTAAAAATGTCCATATTATGCAAAGTAATCTACAGATTGAATATAGTCCCTATTAAAATTCCAATGACATTTTTTATAGAAATAGAACAAACATTCTTATAATTTGTATGGAACCATAAAAGAGCCTGAATAGCCAATGCAAATTTGAGAACAAAGCAGGAGGCATCACACTTAAAGAAGAGAGAACAGATTGTTGTCAGAGGTGGAGGGTGGGGAGTAGGCAAATGGGCGAAGATGGTCAAAAGGTACAAAATTCCAGTGATAAAATACTTAAGTCACAGGGATGTACTTTACAGCATGGTGACTATAGTTAATCATACTGCATTGTATACCTGGAAGTTGCTAAGAGAGTAGATCTTAAAATTTTTCATCACATGGAAAACAAATTTGTAACTACGTATGGTAATGGATGTTAACTAGACTTATTGTGGATCATTTCACAATATATACAATTGAATCATTATATTGTACACTTGAAACCACTATAATGTTATATTTCAATTATATCTCAAAAAACATCTTACATTTCAAAAACTAATACTAGTTTCTTTGCTTTTTTTCTTGAACCAGAACCACATATCATCACAAAATTGCCTAGTCAGGAAGGGTTTGTAATGAGTTTATATGATGAGGTTTTATTGAGCTAAATATCGCCCCCAAATAGCATCCTTTGTTTGAGAAACTCAAAGTTCAGATAGCTGTTCTTCCTCTGTTCATTTGTTTTCTAGTGAAGTAAAATTCCTGTCAGTGAGATTTATTTTCATTGTGGTGGTGGGGAAGAAATTTTATCTATATTCTACTTTCTATTGTTCAGCTATATCATTTCCCTATATTAACAGTGCTCACTGTACTTGTCAGAGGTTTAACAAAATATACTCTAGTTTCTAATTGTGTCTGTGGGTCCATGTTGATCCTGTCATATTAAAGTCTGTGTCAGTCATCTATAGCTGCTTTAACAACATCAAAATCTCAAAGTCAGACAGCAATAGATGTTTATTTCTTGCTCATGAATTTGAGTCAGCTGAGACAACTGTGTTTCATGTTGTGGGCCAGCTGGGGGCTCTGCACCATGCAGCTCTCATCCTTCTCCTGGTATCAGCACGCTGGCCAGGGCCTGTTGTCTCTAAGGTGATGGAAGAATCTGAGAATAGGCCTTAACATATAACCACATATCAAGTTCCTACTAACATGTCTTTGGCTAAAGCAAGTCACAAAGTCACGTAGAATTTCAAGGGATGGGGAAGCTCACACCATCTTTTGTGTAGCAGTAACTGCACAATCACATGACAAAGGGCATAGATACAGGAAACAGGGAGGAGCTAGGACCAATTACTGAATCTGTTTCGGCCTTGCACTTTCAAACCTTTTAGATGGCATGTGTATGTGTTATATACCAGAATCCACACTAGATTATGCAAGTTCCAGGAAAGACTGTAGTGTAGTCTTCTGTGTTGTTTCTCCAAAATAAATTACTTTAAAACAGTATAGTAGGGTCACAGATTTTACTCACACTATTCTCAGATGTTTCTTAATTTTCTCCTATAGCTATCCTAGTTGCCCTCACAAACATCACCACAATAAGGAGTAGAGAAAAAAAATATTGTCTAATCTAGTACTTGTAAACAGGTCCGAGAGTAAGTCAATGTTTTACAACAGTTGCTTGTTTGTTTCGATACTATTCTCGCCCACTGGTCCCAGATGGTTGCTGGATGTGTGGAGCATGGGGTGACCTATACAGCTTCCTTGGGTGCAGGTTATCCCTGGTGACTCTGCTTGCCACACACCCTACAGGCATTCGCATCTATGGTCTTGGTGAGAATTAATGTCTTATTTGTTCTCAGGCTAAGTGGAGCATGGTAGCCCTCCGAGGTGACCTGGCTTTGGATCTTACTGATGTTCAAAGAGCCCTGAATTTCTGCATTAGTCTCCACCTGGCTCCCTGTCCAGTGAGTCCACTCCAGGCTCTGTGGCTGGTTGTTCCTCTCCTCACCATGCAGGCCCGTTGCTCCTTTCAACTCAGCTTCTGAGTCCCCACTTAGGGACTACGAGAACTTCTTGGTTCTACCTATGCCCTTGGAAGTCATGAGTAGCCTGGGGAAGCAGAGTACCAGGGTGCTCTTTGGCTGAACCACTGTGTCAGTCAGGGTTCCCCAGAGAAAGAGAACCAGTAGGAGATGTACACGCATATAAATGGAAATTCATTACAAGGGATTGGCTCACGTGATCTGCTACCTGCAAGCTGGAGACCCAGGAAAGCCGGTGGTATAAGTCAGCTAAGTCCAAAGACCTGAGAACCAGCAGAGCCAATGATGTAAATCCAAGTCCCAGGGCAGAAGATGAGGTGAGGCGTCCCAGCCCAAGCAGTGAGGCAAGGGAAAAAAAAGGCAAATTCTACATTCCTCCGCCTTTTGTTCTACTCAGGCCCTCACTGGATTGGATGATGCCCACCCACATCGGGAAGGGTGATCTACTTTACTGAGTCCACTGATTCAAATGCTAATTTCATCCAGAAGGAAACACTTTCTAGACACATCAGAAATAATGTTTAATCTGGGCCCTCCATGACTAGTCCAGTTGACATAAAATTAACCATCACAGCCATGTTGTGTTTCTAGATTTACTTTGATGTGTTCACACCCCAGGCTAGTGCAGGACAACCTATGGGGTGGCCACTTTTCAGGGTTCATGATGAGGAAAAGGGGTAGCCCTCCCCTGACCCTGCCTCCTGCCACCTCTACTGACTTTCCAGGTCACCAGGGCACCTCAGTGAGTCATCCCCAGGTTGGGGAGAACCCCCATTCTCCCTGTGCTCTGAGGGGAGGGGCAGCCCTAGTCATCAATTCTAGGCAATGTTCACTGCAGATTCCACTAAGAGCTGGGTTATATGCTTCTTCTAATCTAGTTTCTCCCAAAGAGCCTTGTCTTTGGGAAATTATTGGGCATTTTCCAAGCCATTCATCAAGCTGATGTTTTGACTATTGGTTCTGTCTGTGATTTAGGTTGAACTCCTTGCATGCTGACATTTGACCATTTTTGAACCAAGAGTAACAGCAATTCCATATGGTCCAACCCGCTTGTTAACTAGTGGGACGCCCTGAAGAGACGGAGGGTGAGGCTTATGCCTCAGCACCCCTGACCCTGTCACACTTCACATTCAGAAGGTCTGGGAAATTGCTAGTGAGGGATGTTTTAACCAGGCCAAGAGGAAAAGGGACCAAGCCTGAGGTTGTCAGAATTGCGGATAGGTGGTGGGCAGGGGCTGTAGAGAGTTGATGCGTTGACTGGCGTCTCCATGAGCTGCCAGGCCTCTCCTGACCCTGGGGTTTCTGACTGTGAGGCTGTACTCCCTGGCCTGGGGACAATCAGGTGGGAAGAGAAGCTGCAGCTCCAACTCCACCCAGGAAGTCTGCTGCAGGTGGGGTGACGCATTCTGACCTTCCCAATTTTGAAGGGTGAGTTGTGCCAGTGCGCGCATGCGCTCGTGCATCTGCGATGGCAGCCAGAGGCGGGCAGTCGGGCAAAGCAAAAGCCACACCCCCAGTCCTTGGTGCCCGCTGGGTTCGCTCCAAGGTTTTGAGGACACGCTGGGCCCAGCGCAGACCCAGTTTCAAAGATAGCTCAGGGCGGTCAGGGAGGGAAGGTGGGTCAGGGCACATCTGTCCTCGCAAGAGCTGAAATAGCTCTATTCCCTGCACAGTGATGATGCAGAGAGAGCAGCAGAGCAGACGTGGGCCTTTTTTTAGTTCTTTTTCAAATTGTTTTCAGATTTGGGAATTACGATTTCTAAGAGAAATAGTGCAGTGGCTCGCTGCCATCTGAGAGAGCCGCAGAGGTGTGTTTATTTAGACTTAAAAAGCACTTGATCTGCTGCTCACCGTGACAGCAGGCAGTAAATCTCAGTTCAGACCAGCTGGGGAGAGGCTGGGGAGACTGCGTGGAAATTCTGAATCGTCGACTGTCTTACAAGCAGTGGCGTTGTGTTATATGTTATTTTGCAGGTATATGCAGAGATTCAAGCAGTTTCCAGAGTCGTTGTGAGTAGAGGGCCTGCTGTGCCTTCTCCCTACCCCTCCCACCTCCCTGCTGCTAAACTGCGCTCTCTCACCTGTGCTGGTTATTCTCCTTTGCCACAGGCCCATCCTCCCCTCTTCTTCCCGGGAGGCCTCACCTGCACTCCCTTGACTTCTGGCTTCTAGTGGAAAACAGCAGAGTAGGAGAAGAGGAGGGGAAAGGGGTGATGGAGGGAGGGGGTGATGGAGGGAGGGGGCTATAGAGAGATGGGGGAGGGGAGGGGAAGGGTAGAAGCACAGGGAAGGGTCGGGGAGGGAGTCAGCGGCATTGGTTTCTACACACCTGCCCGAAGCACTGGGCTTGGCACTGGCTGCCTCTTCTTCTGAGCCCCCAGCTCCGGTGGATGGCCCCTCCTCCAGTCTGTTTCTGCTGGGCCCTGGAGAACCTGATCCCCTTTGTAAGCCCAGGGTGGTAGAGGCTTCCTGCCGTTTTCAGTCCCAGCAAACTTCACCTCTGCTACTTTCCCATAAGTCTGCCCCGAGCCTTGTAAATAGTCTCTGTTAAACTCTCTTTGGAGCTGCCGTCTGTTTCTGCTGTAACCCTGATCATGGAACCCAAGGGCCTCTAATCTTCTAATCACCCAGAAATACTTCCATTCTAATCATCAATACCAAACCGTGGACATCTCTGCGGTTGTAACTCTCTGCCCCCTCGGATGGCTTTCCCTTCTCCCCGCGACCGGGGGCCCCACCTCCTGGCAGTTCCTGTGGGTCCTCTTCCTGTGGGTGTCGGTCTGGCCATCCCTGCACATGCTGCTCAGTCTGGGCCCTTCTGTTTTCACTCTTTATTCTCCCCCTGGGTGCCCTTAATCACACCCATGCTTCAACTTAGAGGAGGAAATGAACCCCTATTGAGGAGTCTATGAGTGACTACCAGGTGGTTTGTTCTATTGATCATTTGAATACTGGATATTTATTGAGTGTCTCCCATGTGGCAGGACTGGTCTGGGGCTGGGCATATGTGATCTCTTGGGCTCTTCACAACAAAGGCGGTACTATTATCTCTCTTTTATAGATGAGGGTTCTGAGCTGGTAAGTTAAATAATGCACCCACCCAAGGCAGAGCCAGGACTGAAGTCTGCTTCTCTGCCTGCAAAGCTGGAGCTCTTCCTCCCTGTATTGCAATGACAATCAAATGCCTCTTCTTTACACCGTTGAACTTGAGTTGAACTTCGCAGAACCTTTATGGATTCTAAAAACAGCACAGTCTGACTCCAGGGTTTGAATTGAAGTAGAACACATTTTTTTGCTAACTCATTCATCAGAGGCATGTGCCTTCCTCTGACTTTGAGCCTCGGTTTGCTCTGTAATTCACTGTGATTCTAAAAATTACTCCTGGCTCCCCGAGTGCTCTATTTTAGAATCTAGTATCCTGACAATACAAGATTAATTCAAAGTCAGAGCAGTAGGATTTATTTGAGAGATCTCTGCTCATAATAGAAATTAGAAATAGCAATACTTGTTTGCATTTTCTTCAGCCCTGAAAGGAGGAGATGCAGCTCTGCCTTTTCCTGGGTGTAGGGACAGCCTGTGTTGCAGCCTCGAAAACTTGATCTTCCTGAATAATCGATTATCCATTTAAAAGGAACGAAGGAGAGATGCCAAGAGGGTGGAGCCTCCATGTGGATCAAGACCTTGAGCTGTGGAATTTAACAGACCTGACTTCAAAACCTCGCTGGGTGATCTTGGACAAGTTATGTCACTTCTCTGAGCCTGTTTCTTCAGCTGCAACATGGGAGTAATAGAGCTGAGTAAACAGGATGTGTACTGTTGGCAGTGCTTGGCGATTCAGGTCCTGAAACCTCAGCCAGCTTTTGGTGGAGACTGCAAATATCACTCTGGAGAAGATGTGAATTACTGCTGGGTGGGGGAGCCCTTCCCTCGGTCTCCCGCCCCATGCCTCTTTTGGAAAGCAGAGTGCTAGATGATTCTACGACAGCTTGCATAAAGGGCACTGGACCTTCTGGGCGGGAAGGGACTAAGACCCTAACCCCTTGTCCCCAAGAATCAAAGTTTAGAACGCTCTTCCGGATGGCCCAGGGGACCCTAAGCAGGACCAGGGTGATAGAGATGCTGAAATGAAATTACCAATAAGGTAGAAAGAGGTGTGGCCCAGAGGTGGTGGTGGGAGCGGCCCACAACCTGAGTTACTGACAAGCACAGAGTCCAGGTGTCTCTCGGTCCCCGAAGAAGGTGACCTGCTTTCCACCTGCCTCTACCCAGCCTTCGTGAGGGCAGAGTTGAACCTCAGAAGAAGCACCACTGAGGAATGACCTAAAAGGGAACCCTGTCTCGTTTGGGGTGAGGTGCTTTTGGTTGAATTTTAGCATGAGGAGAGGCAGCCAGCAGAACCGTCTGGAAGCCCCCTGCCCCCATGGAGTGGAAATCAGGTGAGGGGAGCCCTTCGCTGGTGGAGGTGGGCACTGGACTTCCTGCTGGTCAGGGTGACTGGGCAGACAGCATTCTGGGTTGACTGTTATGTCAAGTACCAGTTACACAGATCAAGTTCTAAGCCCGGGCCTGGCACAGAGATGCTAGGTAGTTGTGAGTATTGTTATATTATTACCAAGACAGATCTTGACGAAGCAAAGAATGACCATTTCAGGTGAGGGAAGGAGGGAGCTGGGAGGGTCACTACTCATTCCATGACCCGTGCTTGGTGTCCGCCTCCAGTGGCTGTCACCCCCGGCAGGGGTGGAAATGGTATGCAGAGTTTTCCCTGTACTTTGCCTCCAGTGGCTGTCACCCTGTTTTATTGTCCAGAAGCGTGGTTGAGAGGGGTTTGGTAATGTCCAACTCCTCAAAATGTAATATTTAGAGTCTTAGAATCTTGGAAGGAATTTACAAGCCATCTACCAGTGGTTACCAAACATTTTAAAGTAGTAAAGCCAGTTTCCCTACTTGAATAGTTTTATATGACATGCTGATATGTAAAACACAGTGAAATTTTGCTAATAAGTTATCTTTTTGAGTTGAAATGTATTCTGTTGACTTATGTTAGCATCAGTCAACTAGAATAGTAAAACAATTTTGACAAATCCAAAAACTCCTAACTGGGGCTATGGAAGCTGGTTTCAGTCTTCTATCAGATTTAGTCAGTATCCATAAAATTCAAATCAAAATGCAAATTAAATCTCAGAAGTACCCGATGATATTCAGCATGGCTGTAATCTAGTTCATTGTATTAGTCACAGCCCTAGCGGGAAAGAGTTTGCACTCTCAAATTAGGATGCTTCTGGAAGGCTTTAAACTTGCTAAAGCATTTCCAAAGTACAGGCAGGGCTAGGAAACCATACAGGATGGTGTAATACCCCAGGGCTAGTGACAGTGGTGTTGTTACCATCAGAAGACCTGAGCGGTAAGCAGAGCGGAAGTTATCAGAAGCTGGGAGATGACTGTGTCGAGGGGGCTGCCGGGAGAGAGCAGAGACCTTCAGGAGAGGCACCTTGTCACTCCTAGGAGACCCTGCAGCCAAAAAGCAGGGGATGAATACTCAGTCTCACTCTCCTTCCTCCTTCTAACCTCTTCCGGGGTCTACCCATTGGCAGACTCCAACCAGAAGCTAGAAAGCAAAGGAGACTTCGATGTCATTCCTACAAGTCAGCCTCCCAGGGCAGAAAGCAGGTTGGAGCAGGGTGGAGAGCAAACCCAGAGTTGCCAGTGGACACCATGTAGGACACGTCTGCCCCTGCTTTTAAAGATAGCAAGAACAAAGGCTCAGAGACTTTAGCTGACTTGCCCAAGGTCACTAGGTTAAGGACGATGAGAAACTGAGACCTCCAATCTCAGTTCAGCCCTATTTCCACTATCCTTTTTCATCTCTCTAGTCCCAGGACAATTTTTGATTCAGGAAGGCTGATATCTGTCCCTTGGATTTGTGGATCTGGAGTTAAGGGGACAGGCTTAGCCTGGCCCAGTAATTTCCTTTATTGGGGTCAACTGTGTTTCACCGTTGCTGTGTGGCTTTTTGCAAGTCTAAAGACAGATCACAGCTATCTAGGGAAATAGCACAGCATGAAGCTCTTTGGAGCTTTTATTCCTCCTCTCAGGTCAGCCACTTTCTCAGAAAGTGCAGGGAGAAGGTCAGCCAAACAACGTAAGGGAGCACGTGGAACATGGGTACTAATTCTGGCCTAGAAATATCCAAGAGGATCTGTGTCTGTGGAAGCCGAACAGCTGCAGAGAGCGCTTGGATCCCCGGTGACATCTGTGCTATATTCAGCATGCCTCCCAAAGCCTCCACCCTTGGCCCGATTCTCGTAGAACATTGGACCTCGCCTAAAGGGACATGCTCATCAATGTGGTGGATAACACCTGTTGCCTAGTCTTGTTCGCTATGGTTTGGGGGGAAATTGCGGTGAGGATCCCCTGACCCATTGGCAGTTTGAACTGGGTTATGTGGGGTTGGTGTCTTGTGATTTCTTTGATTTAGTTGGACACTGTAGATGAGCAAGCTTTGTGGTGAGTGAGGGCCATTTACTTATTGACGGATGAGGGTGTAGCAGTCAACTCACAAAAAACCACACGACCCTGAGCATCTCGGGTGTTCCCTTGTCTCGGGTAACCATCACGTGGCTGTTCCCAGCCAACTTCACCAGACTTCCCCAGGATGCATTCTTGTCTCGTCTGGCAGTTGTACCCCTTCTCCATAGTTGTTACTCCTCCCTGTATTGTTGGTTGCCTCCTTCAGTTTATGAATGTTCTATCTGTTAAAAAGCTGTTTCTCAGTTGTGGGTGACCGAGGTATGTGGACATAGCCTTTCTTTCATGGAGTGTTTAGGACACTTGGGCAACCTTAGTATCCCAGGCAACTGAGGGATCATTCTGTCCTTCTCTCCTTCTCTTCTGGAAGGGTAGCTCAGCTTCCTCTTCATAGTTTTCAGGTTAAACATCACCAGTCTGTGGCTTGGGCAAGGCTGGTTCTTATCTGTGCAGTGAACACCGTTCACCTGCAGCTGTGCATGGTTCTAATAGGATGGTGCCATTCAGGAACCTCATTTTAACCTAGAACTTTACTCATTGTCCAGGATTATAGTGTGGTACTGCAGTAAACCATTTAAATTCTAATGGATTTGACCACTAACCAAGAAAGTATCTCTGTAGTGAACAATTTGGCTGTATACGGAGGCTTCTTAGATATAATCCAAGAGAATTCTGAACCATCCCCTTACAGAAGGCATCACCATAAGTTACTCCCATAGGGTGAGCCTCCAAGGACAGCATCATTCCAATGCTCAGTCCTAGCCATGATCTGGCCTATGATAAAGTCACACGGTGCAACAGTAAAACCAAACATCAAGCAGAGTTTCACCGTCACAGCAGGCATATCAAGAGAATCAAGGTCTTCTGCATATTGCTGTGGTTGAAGTGGGCTACTTGACCTTGTTTACATATGCCAGGGAAAGAAAAGGGTGACTAAGTCTGGATCCCTGCTGTAAAATACACATTCTCTTACTTAATTTAAAAATAGTGAAAAAAAAAAGCTCATTAATAATACAATTAGCATGCAGGTCTTCTTGCTGATTCATTCACCATTCTTCATTGCTATGTATGACACCTAAAATCTAACGTGATTCTGATGATGAATAAAAATGAGCCACTCTATGCTATATTCACATCTATATTTTGAGTATCTTTTATTTATTTTCTTCTGCTAAGACCCTTAAGCAAATGCCTTATTTACACTTAAAGGCACACGTTTTCTCTCTCATCTTTTCCAAATTAGCAAGTGCTACATAGTACATTGTTAATAGGAGATCTGACCTATCTATTCAGTTAAGTTGTAATTTTATTATATAGATTGGGACTTAGGAATAGATTTTTAATTGTTTGGTATGTATTAATTGTTCAGTGATTTTTTTTATTAAAAAGACATATTCCATAGTTACTAAGTAGCCTCTCTAGCTCAGTTGAATTTAATAAAAACTAAAAAATAAACCTTCCATTTTAACGACTTTCAGATTTAAAGAAAAATTATGAAGACAGTACAGAGAGTTCCCATATACCCTACTCTCAATTTCTCCTATTATTAACATGGTACATCAGTATGATACAGTTGTTACAGTTGACAAACTGTATTTGATATTAACAACTAAAATCTATACTTTATTCAGATATCCTTAGTTTTTACCTAATGCCATTTTTTGGGGCTTACCTAGGATACCACATTACATTTAGTCATCTAGTCTCCTCAGGCTCCACGTGGCTGGGATAGATTTTTCTCATTTTTGATTAGATGAGGTTTTGAAGAGTACTTGATGGTTTTGAGGATTACTGGTCAGATATTTTGTAGAACTGGTATCCTAATGATGTTTTCATGATGAGACTAGGATTACGGGTCTCTGGGAGGAAGGCCCCAGAGGTAACGTGTCATTCTCATCACGTCAAGGGTGCATATCATCAACATGAGTAGTAATGGCTGATGTTGACTTGATCACTTGGACGGTTAAGCACTTAGAAGCATGATGGTGGGTATGGTAAGACCGTGTTTGGCTTTGCAAGAAACAGCCCAACTGTCTTCCAAAGTGGCTGTACCGTTGCCAACAAAAACCACAACGAGATATCACTTCTAAAAAATCTAAAAAATACAACAAACTAGTGAATGTAACAAAAAAGAAGCAAACTCACAGATATGGAGAACAAAACAGCAGTTACCAGCGGGGAGAGGGAAGGAGGGGAACAAGATAGGGCGAAGGGATTAAGAAGTATAAACTCTTATGTCTAAAAGAAGTTGCAAGGATCTGTTGTACCACGTGGGGAATAGAGCCAGTATTTTATAACTGTAAATGGAGCATAACCTGTAAAAATTGTGAATCACTATATTGCACACCTGTAAAAAATAAAACATCAGTACTTTTAAGATCAGAGCCATATATGAAATATGTCCAATTGGAAACAATAATATACCCAGAGACCTAGAGGCATTCATTTTTTCGCTATTTATGTGTGCGACTTTATATTAGGAATGAATGTTGTCTTTGCAAACACAAGTTTGTCTTGCTGGAGCAGTGAGTTTGTGTGGCCCCTGTGCATGAATGCAGCCTGACAGAGAGGGCTTACTCACTTCGGGCTGCTATAATCTGATTTTTGGTCTTCCAGATACCAAGATTGCATTGGGAAAGACAGTACATCTGCTATTAATCGTCTTCCTATATAAATCTACCAGAATTAGCAGTAATAATCTGGCGTAAGGAGTTCTGTAACTCTTGTCTCTCTCACCTTTCTGTATTTTCAAAAACATGCAAAGGGGGAATTTCGATTTTAGTACTCAGAAAAGAAGTTATTAAATTATAAATAATAATTTCTACAGATTTTGACATGCTTTACTGTTTGCAAAGTGCCTTTATACCTGCCAACTCCAGTGACTATCACAGGCACCTCCTTGCTCTCTGTGGTTTGTCTGCTTTCCGGTAGACTTTGGCCCTGCCTTAGAGTCTCTTCTCTCCCTTAGAGTCCTGCTCCACAGTTCTCCCACCTTCTCAAATCCAGAGATCTTCACCTCCACTCCAGTCCGTCACCCTCCTCTGTCATTGAATCTTAACAAGCTATGGGTTAGAGACACTTTAGAGACTTAGATGAAAGCTATGAACCACCTCTCTGGAAAAATCATCTTTTAGATGGTACACAATATTTTGCATTTAGTTTCAAGGGGTTTGTGGAACCCACCCATCCACTCTTGCCTAAACTGGAACTTCTCTGACTCAGATCTTGTTGGCTAACCTAGCATTCTTTTTTTTAAAAAAATTGAACTACAGTTGATCTGTAATAATATATTAGTTGCAGGTGTATAGCATAGTGATTCAGTATTTTTGCAGATTATATTCCATTATAGGCTATTATAAGATTTTGGACATAATTCCCTGTGCTATACAGTAAATCCTTGTTGCTTACCTATTTTATGTATTCTAGTTTGTATCTGTTAATCCCATACCCCTAAGTTGTCCCTTCCTGCCCCCCTTTGGTAAGTTTTCTATATCTGTGAGTCTGTTTCTGCTTTTCATATACATTTTTATTATTTTTCAGATTCCACAGGTAAGTGATATACAATATTTGTCTTTCTCTGACTTATTTCATGAAACATAGTATTCTTTAGGTCCAATCATGTTTCTGCAAATGGTAGAATTTCATTCTTTTTTATGACTGACCAGCAGTCCATTGTATATCTATACCACATCTTCTTTATCTGTTGATGGACATTTAGCTT